CTCTATCCTATATAGTAAAAGGGTAATATGCAAACTGACCCTAACAGCAGAAGGACTGGGAATGACTGGTCACTATGACACACACTGACCACCAGGGGGCAGACGCTCAATGCAGGAGCTGCCCCCTGGTGGTCAGTGCGCTCCCACAGGGGGAGCTCTTCTCAGTCACAAGCCAGGCTGACGGTTGCCAGTACAGTGGTGGTGGTAGGAGCCTCTCCTGCCTCCTCAGCAGCGCTAAGGATGTCTGACTGCAGCTTAGGCCTGCTCCCCGCTGGCAAGTGGACATCCCCCGAGGGCTCCCGGGCTGCCAGAGGGATGTCTGACTGCCAGCTTAGGCCCAATCCCCCTGGGGAGAAGGCCTAAGCCAGCAGGTGGTCATCCCCCGAGGGGTCCCAGACTGTGAGAGGGCACAGGCCGGGCTGAGGGACCCCCCTGAGTGCACAAATTTTTGTGCACCAGGCCTCTAGTTTTATATAATAAAAGCCTAATATGCAAATTGTTCGACTGGGAGTTTGATGTGCGCTGACCACCAGGGGGTGGTGTGGAACATGGCAGGGCTGCAGCCACTGGGACCACAGGAGATAGTGGGGCTCCCCGGGGGTTCACACAGTCGCCGGTCTGCGAGGCCGACTGGAAGAGAATGTGCTGCCTGCCCAGCTTCAGTGCGGCGCTGCTGGGTGTCCCAGAGGCCCACATACTCTGGGCCATGGCACCTGGTCGTGCCCACTGCATCTCTGCATGGGGACTCAGGTGGAGGGGGGTGCACGAGGGCCTGGGGGCCCAGGTGCTTCTCAGGGCCCCAGAGGTCAGCTGGGACCTGCCCTTCCATGCCAGACGCTCGTGCTTCGATTGCCGGCCAGGCCTAGGGACCGCACCCATGCACGAATTCTGTGCATCAGGCTTCTAGTTTATATAGAAGGCCAGAAGTCCAAGGAAAGATAAAGTACCTCTAAAGAACAAATTGGATGAATATGTCAGTAAAAGGCATTATACATTAAGTATAAAGCCGTGGCAATTATGTTAGTGTGGTATAAATACTGGACAGCTAAGAACTAACTCATTCATAGATGGCAACTTAATCTATGTCAGCATTACAGATTTTTAGGGAGGATGAGCTTTTCAATGAACAGTGCTGTGATAACTGATTATCCAGATCAGAAAAAGGAATGGAATTAACTTCTATCTCCCACTGTATTAAAAATTGGGTACACCATTAAAAACATCTTTAAATCACCTATATCAATGATAATATAATGTCATTATATAATGATTTATTGACAAATGGAGAAGGCAAAATTTCCAGAGGAAAGAAAAAATTACATGAGTAGATAGTTGATTTCTCTAAGAGGGTTGGTTTCAAGTTAAAGACCATCCTGTTAGGGAACTGGAAGGAAGGACAGTGCCTCATGCAGGTGAAATATTTAGGTAGGGAACCCAACAGGAGAAAATAGAACCATAGCAACTCAGACCCATGAAAAGAGTGGGGGAAATGTTAACCATGGTGGTGGCCTCAAGTATTTGAAGGATGAACAATTTGGGCTCAGATAGCAACACTGCTCTCTATGAGGCTGGGCTTCAGGTATTCATAGGGAAGGTCTAGCTGCTCATTCCGGGCCACGATTTCCTTTTCCAGGTTGTCTAGATCAGCCTGAAACTGCCTTAAAACAGCCTTGGGCTCAGGACCTGAGAAATACTCTTCTTGGTGATGCCCCAGTGGTACCTGGAGCAGAAAGAAAGGATCAATCATCTTCTAGTTCTAAGAAAAAGGGACCCAAACTCCAGTCCCTCACCCTAAAGTCTCCTTGTCAGCCATCAGTCCCCTCAGAGTGCCAGCGGTCCCCTCTCACCATGTCTGGCGGGGGCTGGCTAATGAGCGATGTGGCAAACATTTGAAGACTGGTCTGTCAGACATTAGGCAGTGAGCCCATCACTGTGTCCATTGTGACATCTTCCTTGGTGGTGGGTGGGGGCATCCGCATTGAGGATGGGGCATTAGGGACCCAGGCATACCAGTCGAACTGGAAGAGGAAGAATCTGGAATCACTCAGAAACTCTGATTCAGGACCCTAGACCCCAGCTCTCTCCCTCAAGTATCCCCTAGACCAGACAATTGTTCTCACAGACCCAGACCTGGCCCGTGTTCACTGCTGCATGCTGGGCAGAGCATCTGAAGATGCACATGGTAAGGAAATGACAGAGCTGAGCCCGAGTCTGGAAGGAGACAGGGAAACCTAGAGAAAAGAACAAAGCTTAGACAGTGCAGTTCCAAAGGAGATAAGGAAGTAAAGGCTGATATCTTGGCATGTCCACATATTAGAATTAGTGAGTGTTCATTCACTTATTCATTTATTCAAAAAGTCATGAACTACTATGTTCCAGACACTATACAGGCACTGGAAATATGTTGGTGGACAAATCAGACTGTAGTAGTGAAGAATGATAATAAACAGAATCACTAAGTAAAATTACACACAGTTTGTTAGATAGTGACAAGTATATAAGTAAGGCAGGAAAAGGAGATATGAGATGTAAAGAGGGGTCGTTAATAATTTAGTCAAGAGACCAGTCCTTGGTTTGCTGCTGACTAACTGCATTACCTTGGACTGACTTCTTAGCTTCTCTGAGCTGCTACTTTTTTTTAATGAAAATAGAGATAATAGTTACCTTACAAAGGGATAGTCCATGGAGGTGGTCCATATAAACCCCCTCAGTCCATTGTAGGTATGTTTATAAGGTGGAGAGTGGGCAGGGCCAAGAGGCTGGTTGGTCTAATATCCAGTGTTCGAAAAGTGGTTAAGAGTAACAGGAGAGAGGTAGACAACCCAAAATAAAATGGCAAAAAGGAATAACAGGTTCTACACAAAGGAGGATATCCATGTGGCTACTAAGCCTAGGACAAGTTCCTCGGTTCTACCAGTCACAGGGAGAATACAACTTAAACTCATAATGTGAAAATACAACATATTCACAATATGACCAAAGTATTTTTCAAATATTTGAGAAGATACTGACTATATCTCATACTCTGTGGAGGGCGAGTAAATGTATACAAGCACTTTGGAAAACTGTCAGAAACACTAAAACTGAACATACACATATCCTATGACCATCAATTACACTTCTAGATACACACCCAACAGAATTGTACACACAACATTGTTCACAGCAGCAATGACATTAATCGCCTCAAAATGGAAACAACCCAAATGCCCATCAATGGGAGAAAGGAAAAAATAAAGGCCGTCATATTCACAAAATAGAATAATATACAATGAGAACAATGAACTACATGCTACATTTCACAGCAGCATGGGTAAATTTCAAACAATCTGGAGATATTAGTGAATGCATGTTTTTGTGTAAAGTTCAAACAGGTAAAACTAACCTGTGCAGTATGAAGTGGTTACCTTTGGATGGGCAAGGACTGGAATAGCATACAAGAGACTTTCTGGGGAGCTAGTAATGTTATTTGTACTTTGTGCTAACTATACAGGTATGTCACCTTACTAAAAGTTCAAGTTGTAGGCCTATGATTTATAGCATTAACTTTTCTCTAGGTTTATTTTATTTTAATAAAATTTCCAACCTCCCCCAAAGTGGTTAAGAATACTGAGGTTGCTCTCCTATTTCTGGAAAGTAGTTTCAGGTATCTGGGCTATAATGCAGAAAAAAAGAGAAGTCATAGACTCATGTTGGAACTGGAGCACCATCAAATCCACTGTCCAATTCCACTCAATTTACAGTTGAGATGCTGCTCAGGGTGTGTAAGGACCTGCTCACATATTACACTTGCTGACCAGATTGGGGAGGTAATTTTTTGGAGTGTGGCATAGGATCACAATCATTTTATATTGATTTACACATGTTTCAACTTTGTCACATTCATTATTTCATTTGGGACAAGAAATACATTCATCTCAGCTCAGGGATATTGAAAGTCATGAGATTAAATAGCTTTCTCAAGCATAGGTCTGGGAAGAGAAAATCTTAACGCACTGCCTTTAATGAGGGTGATGAGAGAATGATGGTACAAAGAGAACCATGAAGTTGCCGGAGACACAGTATGGGTGCGAGAGGTTAAAGCTCATATTCAAATAAGTATTACAAGTGCTCTGATGTGGATATTTCATGGAGAGAAGCATGAAAGAGAGAATGAGAAGGGTGTTTTGGATCAGGTGGAGCCTGATGAACAGAACTGAGGCATACTACAGAGATTTTGGTCACGAAGGGCTTTGGAGGTGTTCCTGGACGAATGGGGAAGGTACAGCCCCAGATACTTTGAGGTAGGACTCCACTTCATGGTAGATGGGTGGTTTACTGATGTGTGCATCCCCAGGGCCTGGTTATAAGTAATAGATTTTAGCTGTTGGCTACAGTTATTGCACAGAGGGAGTGGAAGGGATTCAAGGTATTGGTGTGAAGACTGAAGGGGGAAGGAGCTAAAGGATGATTCAAAACAGTCCCTTCTGGCCTATGTGTACTAGAGAGAGGAATATGCATCTAGGAAGAGCTCAAGAAAGGATATTTCTTCGTTATGGATATAAAATGGGGGGAGGGGACCTACAGGTGGTTAGTTCACTGGTGAGGAGAATACTTTTTCCCAAGAAACTTCAGTCCCAAGGATCATGACACTGAGTTTAGTTTTAAGTCAAATATATACAGTACTGAGACTACATCTAGAAATGGCCCTGCACTTGGCAGGCATGTAGGATGTCTGGATCCTCTGTGAGTGCTGGAAAGTATTAAGAAGGAGAAAAAGGGAGAGAAAGATAGGATGGGCTTTCATGGACTTCGAAAACAGACAATAATTAGAAGAGAAACTGGTAGGGCCTAGGAAGATTTCTTATTGATTATGGTTCTGGCCTTATTAGTCCCAACAGCAGGTTAGGGGCATCTAAGAAGAGGCATGGGATCTCTGAGGAGGACAACCCTTGGGTTTCTAGAATTGTCCAGAGACTTAGGAAGTGAGAATGGGAATAAGATGCTCCATGTGTGGAGGGACAGAGGCTGATGAGGGGTTGGGGTCATGTTCCTAGAAGGGCAAGGCTGAAAAAGGCCTTTGGTCAGAGGGTCTAAGGAGCTCCCTTCTCTAGGTAGGGATCTTACCTCGGTCCTGGGCGTGGCACAGCCCCACCTCAGTGATCTCCCAACACCAGGCCTGCAGCTCAAGGTCCCCTCTGACAACATCATCCCCGTGGTAGAAGAGGTAGACAATCCCCTCCACGTACCTGCCCAGAGAAGGGAGATGAGCTCCTTGAGAGTAGAAGACCCTACCCTCTGGCTGCTACTCCTTTTCTGTGGTCTCTATCCAGCTGATTCTCACTGCACCTGGGAACAGATCTGACAAGATTTGCCTTTTGGGACATCCCGGAGCTCATTCTACAAACTAGTTTAGAAAGGAAATGTGGGACATTAGTTTTAAGAATTCTGCCTGGCCAGTGAGGCTCAGTGGTTGAGTGTGGATCTATGAACCAAGAGGTCACAATTCAATTCCTGGTTGGGGCATGTGCCTGGGTTGCTGGCTAGATCCCCAGGAGGGGCTAGCAGGAGGCAATGAATCAATGATTCTCTTTCATCATTGATGATTCTATATCTTTCTCCCTTTCCCTCTCCCTCTCTGAAATCAATACAAATAAATATATAAAAAATAGCATTGCAAACACATGGTTTATAGTCACTCTTCATAACAAAATCCTTGATCCCACCAGATCCCTTAGTTTCACTCACCCACACAAGTCTGTCTACTTACACTGTCTATTTCAGCCTTCCCATCCTCAGAACCTACTCTCTGTTCCTCATCTCTTCTCGATTGAGTTCTTTGCCTCTCCTGTCTGGACTTTCTTATTTCATATTCCTTTGGCCTTATGCTGACCTCAAGTTAAAGCCCCATTCTCACTATTCCAATACCTTTTTATTTCTCCAACTCTCACCCACCGAGCAATGATCTCCCAGAGCCGTAAAGCATCATTGGCATAGAGGGCACTTGGGATTCCCAGCAGGCCCCGGTCAGCCAGATCATCAGGAGGACAGAGGGAGCGGTAGGTCAGCTGAGTCATGGCCCGCCGGAACACCTGCACAAGGCCCCCTCCACCTGTGCTCCATCCCTGTGACAATAGAAATGAGGGGTTTTGAGGGGACAAACAGAGCTGGAGAACATGGCATACTATATAAAGTGGTCAGATGTGGCCTTTTCAGATTCAAAGACATTGGTATAAAGGAACAAGGCTCCTCAGTTTTAGGGTCAGGACTGTCACACAGAGGGGCCTGGAATGTTGAAAGTGACAGGACGTTTTGCGGACTTGGGTGAGTAGGTCGTCCCACAATCCACCTCCTTACCTTATCAAATAAACCTCCATCTGAGATGAGTTTGTTCCGTGCCCTCGTGTTGATGTCCGTGTAGCGGGGGGTGTGTGGGATCAGGAGCTGGATGGAGAAGGTTGGAGGGGGTGATTTATGTACAACATGCTTGGCTCCTTCTTTATTAGTGAGTGGCACTCAGCATGGTGGCTTTCTCTCCCTCTTGATGCTTTCCTACCTGCTGGTGCCTTTGCCGGATAGTCTCCTGCCTCTCTGATCTCTTAGTCTCATGTTCTCCCATTGCTCTGTGAGTTGGGCTTTGGAGTCTGGTTGACCGGGATTTTAATCTACACTTCACCACTAACTTTGGTACTTGACCAAGATAATAAACCCTCTAAACGTCCATCTCTTTATCTCTTTACAGGCGATGACAATTGGGTCTCATCACAGGTGCTGTGGTGATGCTTATGCGTATAACATATGAGAGTGTTCAGTACATTGCCTATCACACAGATGTCCTTGAATAGTAGCTGTTATTATCATTTCCATCTTGAGTATAGGTGTCCTTTGAGAATCAGTCCTTTAACTTTTGATTTTTTAAAATAATTTTTCTAGCATATACATCCTTACAGTTTAAACTTGCCTTTCTACTAATTTTCAAAGCTGCTCCTCCAACCTTTAGTTATTTTACTTTTGCATTTTTAAAATTTCAGGGATTGGGGTGGGAGGGTACTTTCAGTCAGAATTAAAGGAACCTTATTGATCTACCTTCTTTAACAGCAAAGGGGCTGTTGTCAAACCTCCTCCCATCCCCAATTAGGCACTGTGTTAGGGCCGTTCTCTCCTGCTTTCCCTTTGCCCTTCAAAAAGGCCCTGTGATCCTCATGTGCATTTCCTTTTGTTTTAAACAATTTTATCTTCATCCTGAGATGGGGGATTCATGCAATATTGGTATTTATGTGAGTTGGTGATGCTGCAGAGAGGGAAGGGCCCAACTGAAATAATTGGTACCAACATAACAAAGCAACTCACATTGGTCTGAAACCCCAGAAAGACCATTAAAGATGCTGAGTGTCATAGGAAACCCAAAGTCTACATGAGGAGGGAAGAAACCAGAAGACAAAGAACTAATCATAATAGCAAGAACTACTATTTGTTGTCGCATTTAGTCTATGTAACGCTGTTATTCACCTCCACGATAGAGTGCCTATTATTCCCATTTAGAGATGAGGACCCTGAGCGCACATCTGGTAAGAACTGAGTCCAGGATTCAAGATCCAAACACCAGCAGTCTGAACGCCCAGCCTGCACAGGTAACCTTTATGAGGGGGGCAGGCCTAGCCCTCTGGGTGGCCTGATAGCAACTCAGTTGGAGGGGAGACAGGTATAGAGGCGGCTGTGGAAGGGGGATTTTGAAATGTAAAAGTTGGTTCAATCAACAAGATGTACAGAAGATGGTAATGAAAAAGCATCATAAAGTCAATTAACTGCAACATCAAGGAATTCTGTTAAGGTCTATTTTGTCTATGCTACCCCAGGACCCAAAGGGGTCACTGCTACCAATGGACAGGTTTGGAGATGAAGGTTGGGACTCCTGGAAGAAACACAATTCAGACGTTCTACCCAGCATGCACTTACATATCTTGCTACCACTTCAAACTCCATGTACCTAAAACTGAACATATCATCTTTGACTTCAAAATGGGCTTCTGCTGAATGTATTGTTTCTGACAATTGTTCTGGTTCATAAGCTTGTACTGTTTTTGCTCCTGCTGCTAGTGTCATCAAGATTTCAAAAATGTTTTTTAGGCTATCAAAAGGTTATTTTTGCTGCCTTCTGGTTAGCAATAGATTCTAGCCTCATTACTGTATAAAATTACAGTATTTCTGGGTCAGTACAACTGTATTGACTGGGTGAGCTCCTAGTTGTTGCAGCAGCTCAGACCTCTAAGCTTTCTCTCCAATCTTGCACCCAGGCATGCTGCAAAGACTATTTCCACTCATCACAAAGTCTTTGCATTTTCCTTTCCATTGATCTAATTACCATGGCATGCACGTCTCATTGGGCAGGTTAAATAACCTCTTGGGCTGGTCTTTTATTCCTTTGATCTTCTACTTAATGAATCCTAAGCTGTGGTGTTTATTGCCTTCTGTCTTGATTTCAACTTTATATCCAGATTTTGTTCTCTGATTCTTCTTCTTATTTTTTAAATTTAAATTCTTTATTGCTTAAAGTATTACATAAGTCTCCTTTCCCTCCCATTGATCTCTCCCTAGCTGCTTGGTTATTTTTTATGTGTATCACTTGTCTTGCCAGTTAAATGTTAGCCCTATGAAGCAGAGCAATACTTTTCGTTTATCAAATTATATTCCTGCTCTACAGCAGACTCTGCTGGAGAATATCAGGTGCCTTAGAATAAGTGCTGAATATATGCTAAGTAACTTGACTTAATAAAATAGATGGCACCTCTCTGTATTATTTCTTCAAACTGCATGAAGACCTATGATTATCTCAAAATAAAATAATTTAAACTGATTATCTCAAAATTAAATAATTTAAACATTAGAAATAAAGCCACAAGGGCAAGGTCCTGACACAATAATTGCCTCTTTTCTGTTCACAAATTGCTATAAAGATTTTTTTATTCCAATAACATGGACACTCATTCAATTAGAAGAAGCTTTCTTAACTTCCTTCCAAACAAGTGGCTTATGCTTTTTAAATCTTAGAGAATTGTTGCATTGTTTCCTTCCTCTGGGATGTGAGGGAGATGGGACATGGAGGGTAGAGGATGTACCTTGAAGACAGGGTGCAGTCCTGGGAGGCACCTCATGGTGGCCACAGCAATAACCTCAGCCAGCAGATGAGTGTTCAGCAAGTGATACTGGAGCTCATGAACATGGAAATCTGAACTTCGGACCCAGGACTTTGCCAGGAGCCAGGCAAGTGGAGGATCTGAGGGCAGGAACAGTGGTGGGGTGGGGCAGCTGGGGCTGGGAGGCTGGATCTGAAACAAAGAGGAGCTAAGCATTCACTGGCTTCATCCTGTTAGAAATTATGCTTATTATTCTGGGGGAAACACTGGTGACTAAGATTATTCTCTCCCAGGGATTATACTATAGTAGGAGGATGAAGGCCCTTCCACTCACCCTCTTAAGTGCTGTGGGGACGTATCAGTGCCATGATGGTCAGGTTCAAAGCAGGAGGAATTGGAAAGAGCTGTCTAGTATGACTGAGAGAAACTTGATGAGGGTGTGAGTTAGGATGGTAGAATCGGAAGGAGAAGCTGGACATGTGAGATAAATGACAGTTCTTTTGAAATGATTGATGAGAACAGTAAGAGTGAAAACACATTAAAACCAAGGGAGAAAATATGTCTAAGAAGAAATATTCCACAGAATCATAGGTCAAAAAGAGATTAAATACCCTTATGGTGAGAACCAACAGAGAGCATTCTGACTCTCAAAAAGGCAGTTTCAGGTGAGTAGTGAGTAGGCTGTAAGGTATAAAGGAGATATTGGATAAGGACAGGTGTCACTGAATCAGGCAGAGGTGGGTGATAAGAGCCTGCTGTCTGTGTCCCTTGGCAGAGGTTGGGGATGAACACAGAGCAGTGTTGGGAGGAGGTTTCTCAGAACACCTCACCTGGATGACCATGGGTAGCAGCTTCCCACTGGGTTCCATCTTGAGCATGACAAGGGGGGCAGCCAGGTACTGCTGCTCTCCTTGGACCACATTGGCTGGAATTCCATCCAGTAGAATGAAGTCAGCCTCAAAAAGGGAACCTTTCTAAGGAAAGAGGAATATATCCAGAAAAAAGCATACCTCCACAGGGCCAGGACAAGGAGGAGAATGTAAAGACAGTCACTCTCTCTTCTTGCCATTAGCCCATGTCAGTACCTAAGTCCCAGTGGTTGAACTGAAGGAAGCACTGAGCATCAAGTTCAAATTCTCTTATTTTACAGGGAAGACTAAGACCCCATGAAAGGAGTCTTCCCTGGAGACATGCAGCTTGTCTGTGTCAGAGGTAGTATTAGGACTAAGTATGCCAGTTGATTCTGTAGCACAGGTATGCCAAGCTCTCCACTTGTCAGGCGGCCCAAGCTCCTTTCCCCACCATCTCCTAATGGTCAGCTTTATTGGCAGAATCCAGCTTCGATGCTTTTCCCTACATCATCACCTCTAATTTTTTCCAGCAGAGGACTCTACACCCAGGGACAGTGGGTTACCACAGCCTCCCTTTCCAGACTCAACTTTGGTCCCTCCCCTTCACCACTTCTACTCCTCTCACAGACAAGGAGAAGACCATCAAGGGCTGGAGGCTGTACCTGCAGTTCTTTCTCCAACTGGGCTGAAGCTCCTCCATCCCCGAGGGCAGCATCAGCCTAGAGGGCAGAGAGGTGGAGTGACTTAACAGCATGGGGTTGGTGCCATTGAGAAACTGGTAGCCAAAAGCTGGTCATTTTGCCAGCACTGGTGAACCTTCTCTGTGGGATTAGAGTGGAGTTTAGGAGGAGGATATTCACCACAACCTGATGTTCCTCTCCTTCATACTCTACTACAGGGATTAAGTCACATGACTCCTCCATACCCAGCCCATATATTTTCATTCATGAGTCCTTTGTGAGATCCCCAGCCCTCAAATATTTTTTGCAAGAAGTTTTGGAGACGAGTGGAGGTTAGGAGGAGGATATTCACCACAACCTGATGTTCCTCTCCTTCATACTCTACTACAGGGATTAAGTCACATGACTCCTCCATACCCAGCCCATATATTTTCATTCATGAGGCCTTTGTGAGATCCCCAGCCCTCAAATATTTTTTGCAAGAAGTTCTAGAGACTATGCAATGTGACACATACCTCATTAATAGGGTCATCAAGGGGTTATGGGGACCTGGGCAAACAACTGACCAGCCAGGGCAGTCTTTTGTCCCCAGAAGATCTGATCAAAATCTTCCAGGCGTTTCCAGGGGCTTAGGAGGGTGTAAACATATTTGAGGGCCATCTCCATAAGCCTAGAGCAGATATCAAAGATGAAACCACCAATTTACCAAATCCTACCTGTTCCTGGATCCACCAGCCCCACTCCACTCTGACCATTTCCTCACCCTGCAATCACTGTCCATCCATAGTCCAGCCTCTTCTGCTCATGGAATCTCATATTTGGAGGCAGATCATCTATACTGCCTGCAGCAATTGTCATGGGTAACCCTTCCTTCCAGGTGGCCCAGCTAGGATATGGGGACAAAGGTTAATGGAGGGGCTGGAAGTCATTAATGGAGGAAGTTGTCAGGGAAGGGGTACACTGGGAGGCTTCTAAAAGGGCAGTCACCAGTAGATTTGCTGTCTTTCCTCCAGTTCCTTTTCTCGATGCTTCTGGAACACATCCAAGGTATTGTTTCCTGCCAGGCGGGCTGGGGAGACATCAAAGCAATTCTCTTCAATGCTTTGTGCTATCTCATGCTATGCCCTGACTTCTTCCAGTATCCTGTTTATTTTTAAACTGTTGACAGTATTATAGATGTCCCTCAATTATTCTCTCCTGTCTACCCCCTCCCTGTCCCTGCTCCACTTGAGGCTTTCACCACATTATTGGCTGTACCCATAGTTATGCATGCATATATATAAGTTCTTTGGTTTTAATCTCTTCCCGTCTCCCCTCACTTCCCCCCCCCCTCTGTGTATGTCAGTCTGCTCCATGCTTCTATGTCTCTGGATCTATTTTGTTCATCAGTTTATTGTGTTCATTAGATTCCACTTATAAGTGAGATCATGTGATACTTGTCTTTCTCCAACTGGGTTATTTCATTCAGCATAATATTCTCCAGGTCAATCCATGCTGTTGTAAAGGGTAAGAAATCCTTATTATTTGCAGCTGCATACTATTCTATTGTGTAAATACACCACAGCTTTTTTTATCCACTCATCTAAAGATGGGCACTTGAGCTGTTTCCAGATCTTAGGCATTGTAAATAATGCTGCAATGAACATAGGGGTGCATATATTCTTTCTGATGGGTGTTTAGGGCTTCTTAGGATATATTCCTGGAAGTGGGATCACAATCTCCTATTTCTTAACTGTATGGCATCATACTCTTTTGATTTTTTCTCTGGCCCTGTCTCCTCTGCTTAGTTCCCTAGTCATTCACCTTTCCCCACTCCCTTTTTTTTTAATTTCACCAATCTTCAATCTCATATTTTTCCTGAGACGAAAATCCAATTTTTGACACCCTATTGTGAACCTTAACTAAAATTTTCCTATCTATCCCTGTTCTTCATCACAGTATCTATAAATTTCATTCTTAATCAGCTGAAATGTCCACACCTATCCTACATGATCCCATATTTCTTTGTTAATTTCCCCTGGCCTGGTTCTTCCCTGTCCACACATTAAGCTGTTCTCCAAAATGACATATTTCAAGTGAAGTACACTTACCTCCTCTGACCTCAACCTACTTCCACTGTC